CTTTGGCTGGGACTCAGGGGGAGCCCGGCAGTCTGAGCAGAGGAGGGAGGGGTTCCAGGCCTGGGACATTGACCAGAGAGAGTGCCCCAGTCTGGAGAAATGAAGCATCCTGTTGGGGAGCTTGGGGAAAGAAGGGGCCAGAAGACTGGAAAGTTCGGAAGGGCTCTGTCTGTGCTCCTGGAGGGCCCGCAGAGCCCCTGCAGTGGACCGAGGAGGGGGTGCTGAACCTGCACCTTGCAAATCTCTCTCGGGACCAGAGGCAGCAGACGCCCCAGCAGCCCCTGCACCATCCAGCCATGAGGAGGTGAGGGCCGGGGGAGGGGGGCAGCGTCAGAGGAGAGGAGGGGGCTCATTGAAGATCTGCTGCAAAGTGAGACTTTACTTCTAATGCTGTAAGAGAACGAGGGAAGGCTGGTGAAGGCTGACTTTCAGACCTGCTCCCCTCCCCCGTGACGTTAGAGGCCTTCACTGGCCACGGCTGCCTTCAGTGGGTGACCTGCAAGACCCTGACGGGCCTTTCCTGCCCAGAGGTGCTGAGATCCCAGACGGGCACTCTGTTTGCAGGCCCTGAATGTGAGTGCTGCCAGAGTTGCTGTTTCCCTGCCACAAGACGATGGAGCTAAGGGTCTGAGTCCCCTTAGGTCTACATATCCGGACACCTTGGACAAATCACTTCCCTTCTGGGCCTTGATGTCCTTCTCTGTAAAAGCAGGAGGCTGGGCTCCGTCACCCTCCCAAGGACAACGGTCTAAGCTTGGCACTTTAAGCCGGCTCCAATCTGGCTGCAGCCTTTCCTTCTGACTCATTTCCTATTATTTCCCTTTGAGCCAAACCAGCTTTCTCTGACATCTCCCACCTCCGGGCATTTGTATAGCCTGCCCCCTCCCCCACGCTGGAATACACTCACAGAATCATGGGCTTGGAGCCAGAAGGAACCCAAAGGTCGTCTAATCCACTTCCCTCTTTTTACAAATGAGGAAACTGAGGGAATGGGACTTCACAGGATCAGAGGGTGATAGCTTCAGAGCTGGGAGGAACCCCAGAGGTCACCCAATCTCCTCAGTTCACAGAAGAGGAAACTGAGGCTGCGCCCATAGTTATTGGATCTGTTCTTTCCCTTGTGCCCCCTGCTCAGCCGGGAGGCAAAGGGTCTTTATGATTCTGACCTTTTTTCCAAGGGTCACCTCAGGTGCCGCCTCCGCCACCAGGAAGCCTTCCCTGACCCCTTTCTCGGGGCTCTCTCCCACGTGTCTCCTGAGGAGAAGGGGAGCTCCTTGAGGGCAAGAGCTGTTTTGTCTTTAGATCCCCAGCTGCCTAGCGCAGTGCTGGGCACACAGTGCACGGACACTTCACTGAGATACACCTGAATGGAATTCCCTTGTTAATGACTTGGCCCGTTTTTCTTCTTGAGACTTCCCATGAATTGTGTCAGGCACAGGAGAAGGTTTGGCCAAGGTGCCCGTTTCCATGCCACCCATGCCTCCCTGCCCCCTTCTTCCCAAGGATGGTCCCCAGTGGGTCCCTGAGCTGGCACCACTCCAGGAAAGCCCTCAGGAGCCCAACAGACTCTGGGGTCTGGAGCCCAGTGGGAAGCCCCTCCACCAGGACCCTCCCTATTCCAATGGGTGTGAGTACCCATGGCTGGGCCATGCTTTTCAGAGGGAAACACAAAGCCGGCTTTGAACACCATTCGTTTCAGAGGCTCTCCTGCCCTAGCCTTTCTGCCCTGGGGGGCTCCGCTGGAGGGGGAGGCTGGACCCTGGGGGCTGGCTTATCTTCTTTGCCTTGGACCAGATGGGGCAGTGCCCCTGTGGTGGGGGGCCCAGCCTGCTCGGAGCTGGAGCCATGCTGACGCCATATTTTGTCTGCTTGTCTCTCCCAGGACAATGCGGGCTTTCATCTTGATTCTCTTTTCTCCCCTTTGTCTGATGGCTCCTCTCGGGACAGTGTGCCACCCAAGGAAAGGGGCTGGGAGATGGCTCTCGGCTCCTCATTGCCAAGGAAAATATTTGGCTGGTGTGCAGGTTTCCCTGGAGCAGCTGCCAGCTTCCTGCGAGCCTGCAGCACCTTGCTCATTCCGCGCATTCGACCAATGCACCAGCGATTGTTTATTAGGCGCCTCCTGTATGCCAGCCCCAGTGCCCGGGGTGGGGGACCCAGAAACAAAAGCGCCATCACCCGGTCCCTCCTGCTGTGTGTCCTGTGTGAGCGAGCTCTTGGGGGGCACGGTTTGGCACAGATGAGGACCCCAGCTCAATCTGGAGGGCAGTGGACAATGCTCACAGTGGGTTGGGTGGCAGAATCTGCCTGCAATCCTGGGATCTAAGTCTAATAGCAATGTCTAGATCCCAGGCACCTCGCCAGGCTTCAGCTGCTGACTTCTGGAACCAGCCCGACTCAGGCCTATAGGTCAGCCCCTGGATGAGGAGGTCGGAGGAGCTGACAGAGCTTGGCCATCTTTGGCAATGACCCCGTGTCACCTTCCAGGTGTTGGAACCCAGGGCATGAGGCAGCGTGGCAGAGAGAGCCCCAGACCCAGAGGACCTGGGTTCAAATCCTACCTCTGTCCTTATTACCTATATGACCTTGGACCAGTCACTGACTCCCTCTAGGCTTCTAACTCACAATCCTGTGAGTCCCCAGAGGGCTTGGGGAGGAGAGAACCCAGGTGCTTCTGGCTGACCAGGCCAAAGGAGGGACTTTCTGTTTATTCCCACCCTCCTCTAAGCCCTACTTGTCCTTTGGAAAAGGGGGAGAGAATATTGACTGAGGAGCTGGGGGAGACTCAGAATTCAGAAAGTCAGTCCATAAAGTTATGGACTTAAAACTGAAAAGCTCCGCAGGCTCCACGAAGCCCTAAGCCTCCTTTTATAGATAAGGAAACTGAGGCCCAACGAGCCTCCCTCCCACCCCCCAGCCCAGGTCACTTCGGGCCTCGACTCCAGGTCTGGGGTCTCTCCCGTGCACCTGCTGCCCCTCAGCATGGCCAGAACCAGGCATGCCGGTCTCAGAAAAGACTTCCCACCCACTCAGCCGAGTTAGCAGCATTTTCTCCATCACTTCCTTAAGTCTGGACAGCCAACAAAACAGAAACCCAGACCTGATTGGTGAAGCCAGCGTCCTCCGAGGCGAGAATGCTCACCCTGAACATCGAACAGCTGGCTCTGGGCCCTCCTGCTGAAAACCACTCAGGCCTGGGCCTAAGACACAGGGCGCTGGACGTCCGGGCACAGTCTGTGTCTGTCTGCTGGCCCCAAAGGCAGAGCTCTCTGGCTCTTTCCAATGACGATAATTATTATCCTTGTTAGAGTTAGTTATTATTACTATTATCACTATTGTTGGGGGAGCAGAGCTTCTCTCTTCTCCGTGCTAGGCCCGGGTAGCTTCCTCAGGCCTGCCTGGCAGGCTCCACTGGGCCCTGGGCCAGGGCTGATGGCCAGTCCATCACCAGCCTGTCGTCACAAACAGTCGTGGACCTCATGTTCAGAATAATGAACAGGTTCTATTCTTATCAGAGAAGATCCATCTCTGAAAACCAGTATATTGGTACTGCAGTCTGTGGGCTCCAGGGGCCCCTTCTGAGCCCTGTCTTAGTCTCTCTGCCTCCCCGTTTCTTTCTCTCATTTCCCCTTCTCTCTCCCTCTCTTCCCCTCACTCTCTCTCTTTCCTCCCTTTCTCTCTCCTCTTCCTCCCTCCTTTTCTCTTTTCCTCCTTCTCTCTCCCTCTCTTCCTCTCCCTCTTTTTCTCTCTTCCCTCCCCTCTCTCTCCTTCTCTTCCTCTCTCTCTCTCTCCCTCTCCTCTCCCCCCTCCAAATTGCATGAGTTTATTTAGTGGAGTAAATTCTGGGCCAGCACCTTGGGAAAGTCTGCATCTTGTCCTCCATCGTGTATGGGGAGCAGCAAACTCATTAATGGGATTCTGACCCCTGGAGGGTCCAGCTGCATTCTTGCTTCTGGGGTCCTAGGCCTCTTATTTCAACCCTTGGCCCAGGCTCTGATCTCTGGATGTTTGAATTTTTTGCTCTACATTCTTGACCCCATATTGGCCAGATCATCTGCGCTGACCCATTGTTCCCCGTCTCTGAGTCAGTTTTCTGATTCCCAGCTAACCTCATCTCCCTAGATTTGACCCTCTTCCTGTCTTCAGCTAGAATTGCTGATTATTTATCTTGAGCTTGGGAGAGACTTGAGAGAGAGGAAACATGTATGTAAGTACGTAGTTTTAAAATCTACAAAATGAATACTAGGGAACTTGTGGATTGGGGAAATTGGCTCAAATCTTCCCTCCAGTAAACTATAAGCTCTTTGAGAGCAGTGACAGTTTTGTTTTTGTCTTTGTATCTCAAGCACTTAGTGCATCATCTTGTACACAGTAAGTGCTCAATAAAAACTTGTTGAATGAAGGGGGAATGCCTCTTATGGGAAGACTCCCTTGACTCAGACTCAGACCAACACTCATAGGCTGGAGTTCCCAGAGGCTGGTGGCTACTTATTTTCTCTCAGAGTTCTAGGAGTAACTTGAGGGGCTGGGTGTTTAGTATCATTGCTCACAAGCCCCCACTGGTGTGCTTCTCATTGATCATTAGCCGGTAGCCTTAATTAGCTTTTAGGAAAGGGATTTGATGAAAAGCTATGATACGGATGCTGAAAGAAGAATGTTGATGTTACAAAGATGGACACTGGCTAGTCACTGGCCAAGCAATTCTTTGTCCAGGGGATGTCACTACTTGTGAAGTGTTCTATGAAGCCCTTGTTTTCCACTATTCCAGGAGCAGGACCAAATTTTGATGATTTTCTATTAGTGGAATTGGACATGAAAGACTTCAAGGAGTGTTTGATCGTTTTGATGTGTCAGGTGTCTGCATGACATCAGTTTGTATGCCTCCCGTGCTTCCTAATGTCCTCATAGTTGTTGTTTCTTATGGTGCAATTATATTATATTACATTTATGTACCACAATTGGTTTCACCATTTCCCAATCATTGAGTGCCCATTTTATTTGTATTTCTTGCTCCTACAATGCTCCATCAATATTTAGATGCAGAAGAGGCCTTTTTTCCTATGTTGACTTCTTTGGTATATGTACCTAGAAAATGAAACTTTGAGTCAGAAGGGCATATAAATTTTAGTTACTTTCTTAACATAATTCCTTATTCCCCCAGAATGGTTGAATCAATTCACAGCTCTACCAGTAGTGTGTGTGTGTATGTGTGTGTGTGTGTGTGTGTCACACATACACACATACACCCCATACATATTATTAACATACATATATGAATAACAGACATAATGCATGTATGATATACATATATATATCTAATATGCATAATGTTATTAATATACATATACGTGTGCTATACATACATCTTTCTTCAGCCCATCCTGTCCTGATGATATGCAGCTGAAGCTTTTCATTAGATTGATTTCCTGTGAAAGGAAGACCTATAATTCTGTGTACATATGTTTGCTCCTAGCATCCATCCTTCGCTGGTGCTGGGCCAATGCCATGTTTTCCATGGCCACTGGAGATGGAGGAGGAAATCCTTGCAGGAAATGAGGCCTTACTCATTAGAGCACCTGGCTCAGGAAGCTGCCTGTTTGTAGGAATTGTTTGGGTATCCTCGCCTCCCTAAATGCCATACTGCAAGGCTATATTTTTAGGGTTCCTAGAATAGCCACCAAGACACATGTATTCTTTGGGCCCATCCCAGGTAGATGAGAGCAAAGGTCTCTAAAAATAAGGTTGTTGCTACTTGTCACCAGAGAACATTTCCCAAATCTCGGTGACTCAGACTCCGTTAGATTCTCTTTATCTTATAAGGATGTTAAATCTGAGTTCTGGTTTGGAAGGCCCAATCTGGCCTTTTGTTGGATTTTTTTTCCTTCTTCCCTCCCAGCTTCTCTTAAGACCAAAAATGTTGCCAAGTTTGTTTGCTTGCTGGGTAGCAAATCACTGAAAGAGGATTGGGGACCCATAACTGGTGATGAGAGCAGCTAGCTGTGGCCTTGGAAAGTCCCTCAGTGAGGGCAGGGGGAGGACGACATTGGTTTTCATGCCTTTCTGAAAAGGGCATGAAAAGGAGCATGAAAAAAAGGCCTGGAAAATGATGCCTTTAAAAGGCACTTTCTTTGCCCATCCGCGGGAGCCAGAATGTTCTCGTGAACACTGTTTTTTTTATAGGAATTTCACTTTTTCTTTTATTAATCTATCCCTCCCACTACATCCTCCCATGTTAGAAATCAGAAAGAAAAGCCCCAAATTCTGCTGTTGATCATATCTGGAAATATCCCTCTCACTACAGCTTCCATTCACCCTCTCTCCGATGGAAGGACTGACAGGCTTCATCTTGATTCTTTTGGACTCGTGGCTTATCCTGACATTGATCAGTATCCTAAAGTCTTTCAAAGTTGTCTCTATTGACAAAGTTGTTATCATCATAGGAAGCATTCTCTTGGTTCTGCTCAGTTCCTTTTGCATCAGTTCATAGAGGCCTTTCCAGCTTTCCCTGAAACAATCCATTCTGTCTTCTGTCACATTACATTACATTCATATGCTACCGCTGTTTTAGCCATTTTCCAGGAGGGGGACGCCCTCATAGTTCCCAATTCTTGGCTAGTACAAAAAAGCTGCTATAAATAATTTTGTACAAATGGGGGTTTTCCTCTTTCTTTGGGGTTTATGCCTTATGGTAATACATTGCTGGGTGAAAGGCTATGTACAGTTCATTGACTTTGTGGGCATGGTCCATAGCAGCTGCACCAATTCACAGGACACCGGTGGACCTGTTTTCCAGCAGCCCTTCCTCCATTAAAAGCACTGTCCTTGGGCAGATGATGTCTTCAGGACACAGGTATACGCCCATCACAGAATCACAGAAGGAAGGAAGGATGCTGGAAGACCCGTAGCCCATGCTGGACCTTGCTGAGAATGCCCACTCTATAAGTTCCCACAAAGGAGCGTCCAGTGTCTGCTGGAACGACTGGGAGCCGGCCCTCTGGGCCAGCTCTCGGGATTAGGGAGGTCTTGAATCCAGCCCAAACGGGTCTCTTGTTTTTGCCCTCGGGGCCCAAACAGAAAAGTACCAACACCTCCTTTCTAGGATCTCCCTCCAGATCCTTGAAGGCAGCCCTCATATCGCAGAATCACAAAACCTGGGAGTTAGAAGGGCCTTCTAAGACCACCGCATCCAACCCATGCCCCAAAGCAATCTCCAACTAAGGCTTTTCTCAGGGCTAAGCACTCCTGACTGCCTTCCAGCTACGCAGTCCGTCTAAACTTTTCTTCTATCTTAAAAGCTCACAATAGAAGGAGAGGTCAGGAGCACTGAGGACTAGCAAGTTTTTTGGGGGGGCAGGGCCCCCAGAGAACAGGGCATAGCTCAAGGAAGGGGAAGCCTGGGCACACAATACAAGGGAGGGAAGGAAGAGGGGGATGGGAATTGAGAAAAGAGGGCCAGGAAGCAGCAGGAAGGAGCTGAGCTTATTGAGAGAACCCCCCTCCCCCTGCCTGGTCAGCATAGCAGCAGCTCTTGCCCTGGCTTTTGCTCCTTCCCCCTCATCCCTCTGATATTCTGTGGTCATAGCCAAAGCTTCAGGTTCCGAACCACGAAACAAAACCAGGCAGAGAAGGTCTGATCTCTGAAAGTATCAACTGCCCGAAGAGCCCACTTGGCCTGACCTAGGAAAAGGAGCAACCTGGGAGTAAGCAGTCAGACCATGGACCTCAGGTTACGAAAGCAGGGATGCAAACTGGAATCGTGAGCAGATTTTCCTTCTTTGGGCCACAGGGGTGCCTGGCTTCCTGTCTCTATTGTGTAGGAGACCAGGTGGTGACTTGGAGCCCTCCATCTCTGACCTTACTCAACAAACCAGTAATCCAAACTTGGCACATTCCAGGTCTGCCGGAAGCCCCCCTGAGCTCCGACCTGGGGCTGCTGACACCATCAGCCCATCCAGTTGCGGTTGTCCTGAGTGGAAAGACAAGGAGAGGGGATAACAGTACCCCAGCCTCATACTGGGAAGTCTCTCGACTCTGGGGGCCAGATGATAGATGCTGATTGGTCTTGGCAGGAAGCATTCAATGCAACAAGAAGGGATGGGCTGGTTGGGTCAAAGGTCTGAGATTCAGTTCTAGGGTAAGCCAGAATGCCCCCCCACCCCGAGCATCTTTGCGACACCTTAGGCCTGGCCAGAGCCCTCTCCTCTTCTCACCAGGCGCTGGGTGCAGTTATTCTGATTTGATGCTTCGCATGCCAGGGCACCCACCTCACCACAGCCTGGCTCAGCTGGTCCGAGGAACCTCAGCGTCCTGGGAATTGTAGGCTCCAAGCTACAGTCCCAGGCAGGCTGTTCGAGCTGCTGTCCAGGTACCCATCTGAAAAGTGACTCTGAAAATCCTTGAAGGAGAAGTATCACCTGATGCCTGGCCATATTGAATAGGGTCACCACTGGGCTGGAGGAAAGAAGGAGGCAAGCACGCCTTTAGTCCTGTTCAATCCCTTCCTGAGCTCTGATGGGCCCACCTTCCTCGGCTCAGCGCCCAGCTTTCCTTAGATAGATGCCTCACCCTTCTTACCTGGACCCCACCTGCAATGTGATTATGCTTCAGAGGTTACTTGTGGGGAATCAGAAGACAATTTTCCATGGAAACCAGCTTCCTCATGGTGGAGAATTTCCTAGGCTGGCCCACAGAAGTTGTCTTAACTCAAAGTATGGCTTTAGTAATTCCCCAAACTCCCAAGCTCCATAACTGAGCCCCTTGGAGTCAAGAACTCCCATCTGAGACCTTTGGTACCCCTCCCTCAAAGGCATGAGCCCTGAGCACTGGATCACAAGACTTCAGAGCAAGATGAAGTTTCAGTGGCCAGCCAGGCTGGCCTGCTCCTCTCCGTTCCACTCACACCAAGCGGCTGGCCGGGCTTTGCTAGAAGGTCTCCAGGGAGGGGGCACCAAGGCCTCCCAGGGCAGCCTCTAAGACGGCCCCCATTGTTAGGAAATTTCCTTTAGCAACTCTCTGATGATTTATGTTGCAGAGAAAGAGTCACCCTATAAGGAGATTCTTAAACCAGTGGAATCATGGGTCCAGCCTTTCTTCTTTGCTGACCTCTGGCCTCAATCTGTCTCTCTGCAGCTTCCCCTCCATGGTCCTGCCTCTGCCCTTTAGGGGTCTGTCCCTCCTCCATGTGGCAGCTCTTCAGACACCTGGACACCGCACTTAGGCTCCCGAGTCCTCTCTTCAGGCTAACCATGCCCTATTTCTCCCACTGACCTTGCCGTTTCTCCACTTCTCTTGCTGTGCTGGGCACCCTCTCTGTGACACTGGTCCCCTGGCTGTTCCTTGAACAAGACCCTCCATCTCTTGACTCCAGGCATTTGCTCTGACTGTATCCTGTGACTGGGATACCCTCCCGCCTCATCTCATGGCTTCCTTCAAGAACCAAGTAAAATATGACCCTCTACAGGAAGCTTTTTCCCCACCCTCCTTAGCTCCAGGGCCTTCCCTCTGTTGATTATTTCCAATTTATTCTGTTTGTATTTGTCTGTACATATGTGTTTGTATGTCGTCTCCCCCTTAGACTGGGAGCTCCTGAGAACCGATAACGTCTTTGCCTTTTTTCCTTTTAATCTATCCCTATTACTTAGCTCAGTACATAGCACACAATAGGTGTTTAATAAATGCTTACTGACTGGACCCGATATCGGTCACTCCTTACAGTCAATGGTATCCACCACTTTCAGAATCACACTTGGGTCAGCCACGACCTGGTTGATGAGCACCCCTTTTGTTTCCAGTCCCCTAAACACATTCCTTGGTGCCCTACCCCTCCCAATCTGGGTTCCCTTGGGGGATCTCCCATGAAGTGTTCTCTAAAGCCCACTCGACCAAGGGTCCGCTGCTGCTCTGGCTGCCTGACCTGGCTCTGTTCTGTTCTGAAGGTCCGTGAGGTCCTTCCAAAGACCCTCCGCGCACATGGTGGGCGTGAACTTACACAGTCCAGACGCTCCTGGGGCTCTCTGGGTGGACTCCAAAGAGGCTTGAGGTGCTCAGCAGATGCAGCTTTCAGGGCTATGGACGTGTGCACACGCCATTTGCTATTTCCCGAAGTGTTTACAAGAAGCTCTTTCCTACTGTGAGCACTTTGTAAACAAGCTGCTTCACTTGTGGAGACTCTGCTGCTGTCTCTCTGAGTTGGCAGATAGCTACCACAATCTTTTCCCATGGCCATGCTCTCATGCTGCATGGAAAAAACCCACTGAAACCAGTGTGGGAAACACGCCCCCTTAAATACGCAAAAGCCAGGGTCTTTCACCCCAACGGACTGAGTATAGATGTTAAGAAATCACTCTGCACCAAGCAGAAGCCAGAGTTAGGAGCCAGGCAGATTCAGGCATTGCAAGAGACCTCCGTGACACCTTGTGTAACAGATGAGCAACGTGAGGGACATGGAAGCCCTCTACTAGGAAGAGTCAGAAATGGATCAGGGGTTCTGGGGAACAGACCTCGGTCAGCCAGCATCGATATGTCCAGCGGTGTGCTCTACGGCTCCTTGGCTGTGCTCTGGTCAGCATCTTTAGCGTGTTTGAAAACCGTAAAAAAGCATCTCAGAGAATTTGCAGGTGTCAGGAAGCTAGGAAGGACAGCCACAGAATCAGGGGCCAACAAAAAGATCTTGGCAGGCTGGAGCAAGGGACTAAATCTAGGAAGGTGGCATTTAATAGGCATAAAGGTAAAGTCCTTTATGTAGGCTCTAACATTCAGCTTCCCATATCTAGCAGGACGAGTAGCTGCACAGGAGCTCATCTGAAAAAGCTAGGGTAGGGGGAGGGGACGAGCTTACAGTTCCACCAACAATGTATGACTGGTACTCTGAAAACCCTAACCCTCTGACTCTAACCACAGCCATTCTGGAGAACTATTCTTATTATTTTAACAGTCTAGAATTGTGGGGGGAAAGTCATAACCAGTTTGTGCCTTTGACTCAAAAGATCTCTCTGCTCAAAGTGTCCCATACATTTGGGGTATATGCCCCAAGGAGAAGCAACACGGAAAGAAAGGTCCCAAATACACCGATATATTGACAACAGCATCTTTTGTAGCAGTGAAGACCGGGGAGCGAAATGAGTGCCCCTCTGCTGGGGAATTATTGAACAGATTGCAGAACGTGAGTGTGATGGGGTGTTATTACACTGCTAAAAAAAAAGAAAGACAAACGTGGGAAATTTGGAGAAACTGGGGAAGAGTTTATGAATTGATGTGAGCTAAGAAGAACCAGGCAAAAGGGGTCGGTGAGACTGTGGTAGCTACAACGATGCAAACAAATGAAACAAAGCAGATACAATGGAGTCGTGCAAGGACCAGTCTGAGCCCAGAGAAAAAATGCTCCTTCCTCTCCTCCGGCAGAGAGGGGACCTCCCAGTGCAAAGGCTGCCTGTGCTGTCAGAAGCTTTGGTTTGCTTTGCTCCCTGGGGAAGGGAGGGAACAGGCCACCCCTGATAGAATGAAATAACGGCATGTCAAAACAAAAGGCAAGGAAAACACATCAAAACCAAAAGCCTCAGACTGGGGTTTGTCTGCATAGGGGAGTGAGCAGAGCAGGCTGGAGCCCTGGATAGCTCGGAAGGAGGGAAGGATGGACCACCACCTCTGCATACCCTTTTAGAAAGAACACAACAAGCTAGAGGGTCCCCAGGACAGCCAGAACGGGGAGGAGACCAAAAACCAAGCAGGACGAGAAACAAGTCCATAGTTGATTCAACACACAAGCATTTATTAATCACCTGCTGTGTGCCAGGAGGCCCTGTGCCAAAGTCACTTTACTCTGTTTGCCTCAGTCTCCTTATCTGTAAAAAGAGTTGGAAAAGAAAATGGCAAACCGGTCCAGTTCCAAAGGAGCTCACAAAGAGTCAGACGTGACCGAAACAACCGAACAGCATTGTGGGCATTAACAACCACAAACCCCCATTAAGCGTGTCATCCTGGAGCGATGGTGAGTGGGGGAGTGGAAGCCCTGGGGGGGCAGGACATGCCCAAGTTGGAGAGGCTTTTCCAGGGGTCGTGGCCACACCACCAGCCACCTGCCCTGCAGGAGAGGAAGCTCTCTGTCAGAGGCTGTGGCCAAAACCAGTGCATGAAGGATAAAGGGCCACCAGACTGCTGAAATAATATCTCTCGAAATACTCAGTTGTCCCCAAATCCCTATACATGGTAAATATATATATGCATGTATGCATGTATGTTTGTATGTACTCACTTGTGCAGAAGGAGTCCCGGGGTTTCTCTCCCAGAGCCAGGCAGGCTCCTTCTGCCCCTCAGGGCTGTAGGGCACCCTGAGAGGTTGGGGGGGTTTGTCTCTTTTCTACTGCCCCAGTTCCCTTTAATCACTTAACATTAACATTCAATTTCAAAGACGCAGCTAGAACAAAAGTACCAATATTTCTCTCCATCCCACCACAGGCTCCTGCACATCATTGACACCACCAAGTTCACACTCAGACCGCCAAGGCTGGCCGGCGAGTCCTCAGCTCCACTACCACCAGGCTGAGGGTCGCTCATGCTTGAGGTTGACTGAGGCCTGTGTGAAGGCCTGCCCAGTTCAGGCGCCACAGCCTCAGTCAGGCACTACGTGGAGTGGCAGAAGGGATGCTGGACGTGGGGTCTCAGGACCCTGCTCCCAATCCCTGCGCTGGCTGGCCTGGCATGAATGAATACATGAGTGAAAAGCATTTATCAACGATGACTAAGAACCATAACTGGGCTAAGCATGAGGCATGCGAATGCAAAGGCAGGGCCTCCTTGCCCTCAGGGAGCTAACGCTCCAATCATGGTGGACAACTCCTGGTAAGGTGGAAGCTAGGAGGGAGGGACACTTTAGTTTGAGAAGTCACAGGGATGGTGGGAGGTGTCCTAGGGTAGATTTTGAGGATCCCACTCAAACATCAAAAGCAGTGTTGATCTGACTATTCCCGGAGCTACAGGTAACTTGACCTTGGGCAAGTCATTGGGAAGCATCTCTGTACAGTGAGAAAGGTCCTAGGCTTGGAGTCGGAGCCAACACAGATTCAGATCCTACAACCTGTACAACCTAGCACCTCCTATGCCTCAGTTTCCTCCTCTGTAAAATGACCAACTTGGGCTGGATCTTGTCACTGATCTCGTCAGTCACATGGTGGCCAGCCTTGGATCTGGGGTCTCCTGGCACCGGTTCAGTAGTCACCCCTTTTTTTTTTTTCTTTTCAGATGGCCTTTTCTTAATTCTTCAATCTCACCAGGAGGGCAAGGAACCCTCAACCTAAAGCCCCCTATAAGCTACCCTGGGCCAGGGGCTCCTCATTTTTGTGCCAGCTTTGCCCTATCCCTGCCATCCTTCTTCAATCTTCCGCAGAGGGCAGATGGTAAGAATAAAGGTACGAAGGGCTGTGGGTATCCCCAGAGAAACGGGGCAGAAGTTGTTTGTAACAAGTCATTCTCTCCAGATGGGAATCTGTTTTTGGGTTTCACGACTGGGTGCCAGCCTGGAGGAGGCATCCTATTGGGAAGTCAGCTGTTAGGCCCTGGGGCAGCCGGACTCCCTCCCCCAGCCCAGGCTGACCAGGTATGGGGGAAGGGGCAGGGGGAGGGAGGGTCTGGAGGCCCAGAGGAACACCTTCCAGGGACTGCTTTATCTTTGTACCTTTTGTCTCTGTGCACTTTCCAGTGGTAAAATAAAAAATGTGGCCCCCCTCAGCCATGGGGGTGGGGGGCATTTTGTTCCTTTTCCCTTTCTCTTTATTGCTGGACCACTGGTGAGTTCCATTCAATTCAATAAGCATCTACTACATGCCTGGCACTGTGCTATGCGCTGGAATACAAAGAACACAAAATCAGACAGTCAGGGTGGTCAGGGAGCTTATCTGTCATTTATCCGTCAGGGGACATTTCCTGTGCACAGAGAGGTGACTACAATGTGATGGGGGAGGGGCCAGGAGGGAATACCAAAGCAGGGGGACAAGATGGACGCCAGCCGATGGGAAATGCAATCACATGCGGTGATCACCACTATATCAGATTTCCTCCCTTCCCTTGGCTAACATTATAGGATTGTCCAAGCCCGCTGGTGATCATCAGAATTCCTAGGGAAGGCATCTCTGATCCCTGCCCACGTACAGGGCATCCAACCCTTCATTCCCCGGTGGGTTGGCATCCATCAAGGGGAGAAGAGAGAGGGGAGGGGGCCGGAATGACGACAGCTGTGAGTACCATTCCAGAAGGTTCACCCTGTTATGAATGGGACAAGCAAACAGCCCCTGAGGGAGTTGAGGGATCCAACTGGGGACACATTTCTCCCAACAACACTTTTCCATGAAGTCAGGAAATGGGACATTTACAGCCCATTGTGGGTGAGGACACAGAAGTCTTTATGTCTCTGTTTGGGCCAGCTGTAGTTACCGTTGTCAGGCCCTAAATGCAGGGACTGTCTGGGAGGCCCTGCAGAGCAGCACCCTCCCAGCCCAGCCTGCAGGAACCCTGCCCTCGGCCTGGCTATGCGCAAAGGCTTCTCCATCCCATGCATGCTACTCCTTACGCAGGGTGGCTGAAGTGTTGTCAACAAGCAGAAATTGATGCTCATTTGGACTTTGGGGTGGGCCCCAAGGCCCTGGGGCAGGGTGATGTATGATAGAAATGCGGGCACTAGAGGGGGAGCAGAACCTCCTGGTCTTGACCTCAACGTCTAATCATAGCCTTCCTCTCCACCCAAACACTCCTGACCAGCAGCCCTCCAGCATGAAGGAGAACCCGCTTCCTCCCAAAGCAGCCCGTTCAACTCCTTTCCCACCTCTCAACTCTGCCTCCTGCGGCCAAGGAGGATAGCCCCTCCACCGCTAGAGGACGTTATCTGGTCTTCTTTCTCCTCCAGAGTCACCCACCACAGACCTAAGCCCCCCTGCACATACTGCCAAATGAACATAAGCTTTGTTGGATGAGTTGAGATGGAAACTGTCATCTCAGACTTTCTGGGGTTTTGGATGCTACGTGGAGCTGTAACCCTGTCTGGGGGGCTTCTCTAATGGGGGGCACACCCTTTGGGGAAGGAGGCTCAATCACCCATGCTTAGACAGTCACAGAGGTGGCCAAGCATTGAGCTTGAATCTGCTTGTCTGGAGAACACCTGGCGGTAAGGCTGGGGGGGTGAAGGGTGGCCATGAGATGAATGAGCTGAGCTGTGTGAATGCCGA